TACCGGAACACAATAATATCGGAACACAACGACTCAACAGGGGCTACCGTACTTATCAACGTACCATAAATCCTCGGGGTGATGCACTATCCACGAAGAACATTCCTACAGAACGTTCCTCGCTGTTCTGATAATATGTGGCTACTCGGCAGTCTGCAACGCCGACAGTCCCGCAATTCAAAACTGTCCAATCAAATTGTGCTACGTTACTCTGTCGACACACACAGCAGCAACTTAGCACGAACACACAGATGTTGCGTTGTGTGTGATAGACCTCCTGTCAAACAAATATTGCAAGAATGCCTGCCCAGCTCTTGTTTTTCTGTGCCCGTTCCATTTTTCTGGCGCCAGCAGACGCACCTCTCGGTGAAGATACATGTTCAGCTCATCAGCAGGGGTCACACACAACTCTTTATTGCCCCTTTCGTTATTGTTTCTCCACCCCAATTTTCCCTGTTTCGGGCTGCAAAGTAGGCCTTTTCAGTGGCGGTTTACCGAGCGGCGGTGATGCCTACTAAGGCCCTGTTCGAGGAGGCAATTAAGCCAGTCAAGAACGACTTCCCGGCCAACTACAACCTCCTCATGAAAAACGACCTTGAGAAATGGACACACACACCATGCCACCCCCAGCAACCTGGTCAACCTGAAGATGTCCACCTCAAACTCTGCGGAGTCCAACATTTCCGCGGTCGGCCACCAGGTTGGTGAACGGAAGGGGTGGATGTGTTTAAATGGCTTTGCAGGTGCGAATTGACGCACTATACCCTTCAAGAGGAGGGTTTCTCGCTGGATCTCATTGATGGTGCGTCAGGATGTCCTCTCACTCAGCGTCAAGCGTTCCCGTATGGGCGTACACAAGAGCCAGCGTTTTGTGAAGCCCCCGACAGTCGACCACTGTAGTTCCGAGTTTTCTCTGTTGACATTCCCATCGCTTCTTCTCATTTATGCATGTTTTCTTGTGTCGTGAATGTTGGTGGTAACGAAGTGGTATTTAGTAGGTGCTTTATTTCCAGTGGGTCGATCCAACATGAAAGAATCCAAGATGAACCGACAATGTACCATCCCTCACTACTATACATCCGCATAAACAAGACTTGATAGATGGGTGCATTTCTGTTTCCCATCCGGAGAATGTCATAGCCCCTCCCATGTCACCCGTTGGTCAGCGTGTCAGCGGGGTCCATGCTAAACGTGAAGACTCGTGTACATTCTTACCCAATTTTATCATTGTTAGGAATCCTGCCGTCCCGATTCTTCAACGGGCGCTTGTCCGCGTGTTGTGATTTCCTTTTCTACGCACCAGTGTGTGCGGCCACAAGCTTTTTATGGTGTTCCTTTTTAAGTCGTCAGCGTCTGAATCGTTGATGTGTCCCTTTTCCGTTGATGACGTTTGTTGCTCGCAGAAACGGGAAATGGACCCTTATCATTTCCACATCGAGATTGCGGAGAAAACTGCGGAGCAACTCGCAACGAATGCCGAACTGCAGAAGGGCTGCCGTGCCATCCTCGTTCCATTCGCGGCCAAGTTCATGGAGGACGAGAGGTTGCTCAAGTAAGTACTGGGGCAACCACGCCTGGTGCGTTCCTTGTTCTTTCCTCCGTTGATTCTACGGCTGCATGGTCGGTTGGGTGTAGTACGACCCCGTCGGTTGGGTGATCCACCCGTGCTGTCTCTCTTTTTGAGTCCATCATTTTTTTCGTCCGTTTCGGCTGTCGTTTTGTGTGTAGTGCACTCTTAACAACCAGAGAATGACACATGTCTTTCCTCGACGGCACCAACTCAGTTTTCGTTNGGGTGTAGTACGACCCCGTCGGTTGGGTGATCCACCCGTGCTGTCTCTCTTTTTGAGTCCATCATTTTTTTCGTCCGTTTCGGCTGTCGTTTTGTGTGTAGTGCACTCTTAACAACCAGAGAATGACACATGTCTTTCCTCGACGGCACCAACTCAGTTTTCGTTTGCTTTCTTCCCTTCCTTCTTTGGTTCATGGCGTTGGCCCCACTCGTCGGCAGCAAGCACGTCAAGAGCATGGGCTTGGGCACCTACCTTGTTCAGGAGCACGGCAAGAGCCAGTACGGCAACAGGGTGACAATCGTGCTGCCGGACACGTAAGGGAAGGGTGGCCGCGTCGAGTGCACCTGCAGCGTTCCTACCAGGTTCCACGTTCTGTGCCAGGACGCCCTCGTGGTGTTGAAATGTAAGCCTCCTCCATCGGGTTGAAAACATGGATCGCAATTAATTATTGGGTTATTCAATCTTCGGCTTTGTGTCCTCTGTTGGCCGTCTGTGATCCGTGTGCATTCTGTATGTTTTATTCTCGCAGCTCACGTGCAATGTGTGATCTCATACAATCTACATTGCAGTTCCTCGTATCTCGTCTCTGGGTTTTCCTCTGGTGATCTGTCGCTCGAAGCTGTTCTTTCTTTTGCCTATGGCACAAGCTCACCGTTGGCTGTTAACGACGTTCTTGTAGAATGAAGTGGGATTCCGTCTGCCTGTGCGTGCCATTTATGTCACCAAGCTATTTAGCACCCACCCCCTCTCGATGAATTTCCATGAAGGTAGGCAGAGGTTGATGAGCGTGTCACTACCGCTTGGGAGAGGTGTGAGCTCTCGGACAAACATCCCCTCGTTGATATTGTTCGATGATGCTTTGCTAGAAGCACGGGATTCATGCTTTGCCAACAACACGTCGCTACGTCGGATGTTAACTAAAGTGAGCTCGAGGATAAGACGACAAAAACGAAGATGGATGAAAACAGCTCTGGTTTGCACACAACTTAGCGAACACATTGCGTGGTGATCGGGCTCCTCGGTCGGTTGGACTTGCCCATATCCGTAGCACCGGTCAAATATCCGTGTCCGGCAGCACGAGTACCCTTCTAACGGCCATGTTCTGTGAAGGAACCTACAAGTACCCCTCTAACGGCCGTGTTCTGTGAAGGGAACCCACTTGGAGGCGGCGTAGGAAAGGCAAGGCTATTTTGGGCATCCATGACACGGTGACCTGGTAGCTTATGACGAGAAACCCAAGCTACCGTCGTCCCTGCTTGGAATGCAGTCCGTTTGGACTCCGTCCGCGTTTTGCTTGTTCTATCATGACCCTTCGATCATTGTCTTTGTGTCCACTACTCCTCGCAAAAATTTTCACTGCTTTTCGCTTGAGCTAGCTCTCTATTCCTTCTGGAAGGGCAGGGTTCTCTTCCAGGTCGTCTCTTCCTTCTTGGTTCATTGCGTGCTTTCGTGCTACTTTCCTCCGCAGTGGGATCGTTTCGGTCTTCCGTTCGCACCGGGGAGGACTTGGCGCGGGCAATAGCGGGATGGAGGGTGACAAACCAAAGAAAACAAAAAATCTGACGCTCGAGTACAATTAATTGACCGTTCTTTTNTTTAATTGACCGTTCTTTGACGACTCTTGGCCCAATCCGCCTCTTCCCGATGCCGTGACAGCAATCGACAGGCTTGACTGCACGAGGGCGCTTATTGACAGCGGGTACACCCTGGCTTCCTACAGGGTGCTCCACACCCACCCCGACTATCCCGTCGTACTTCCGATCTGGTCAGAGCCTTCCAAGGGCGACCTCCTGCCCCCGCGGCAGGTGACCCGGCAAGCTGGTGCTCCGAAGAAGAACCGTGGCCCCCGGCAGCGTTCCCGATTCCCTGGTCGCAACGACAACTGCTCACAAGACGCGGCAACGTAGCCCAAGACGGAGGTGGTGGTAGCGGCGGGCCTGCCGCCGGGGGAGGGGGTGGTCGTGGCGGGGGCGGCCCTTCTCAGCCCGTCCCGGTTCATGGGATGGGCAGTGTTCGCAGCCACGTGGGAGACCTCAACGTCGGAGGTTCCGCGGGCGAGCAACCTACCGGGAGGTTGTGGGGGGGGCTCGCGGTTCAGCGTTACGGCTCACAAGACGCTTCCGGCCGCGACCCCCGCATCCCATGTACCGGGACGGGCTGAGAGTTGCTTCCGGCCGGGTCAGGCGCTATGCTGAGTCAATCCCAGGGCTCCATCGACCTGCCGTAGCTCAAGTGGTTCGACTCGTAGCTCAAGTGGTTTGACTCGTCCTGTTTTACTTTGGCCTTTGAATTTCTTCGTCGCACGTTGTCGGAGTCAAATACGACGTTGTGGTCCGTGAATAGCAGGGTGCAAGAGGTCGAATGTGTGTGCACCTTTGCGTAAAGCACCCGCGACGGCGGGGCGCGTGCTGTAGCACCTCATTTCGCGTGCCAGTTTCCAAAATGCCATGCAGAACAGACAGATGAACAGCGAAATTCGACAACCACGCACGCAGAAGACTTCGATTTGACGTGAAAAGTGGGTATAACCGTCGAGCCCCAAGAGCTTGTCACGGACGGTTTTCTTCAGCCATGTGGACGCACGTACCTGCGAACCGCGTCTCACGATAATCGCGACGAAGAGTGTTTGCGGAAGTGGCCCTTCACCCCAACAGACGGATTCGCAACCGAATAACTAATAATCCACCGTAAACGCCCGTAACCCAAAGGTGTTCTTGCCAATGGGGGAGGGGGGCAGTGCGTCGTGTAGAAACACAGCACGCAAGTGTTGAGCGCGCCTACAGTACCACACCGCCAAAGAAATGTGTGTTTGGTGTTAAATCGGCAAGCGAACATCTATCTACAGCATTTTACTATGTATGGGTCATTGTCACATTTGGATGGCTTTCGGTGCGTGCGTGCACACAGAATGCTGCACCACCTTCTGGCCTCGTGTCGCAACTTCTACATGATGCACTGGCGGGGGGGGGGTAAGCCTGTCTGCTGTGCATACAGTGGTGTATACGTTAACATATAGAGTATGTCATGTACGTTCACCTATCGGAAGAAGTACCTTAGAACAGCAGTAGGCTGGGTTCAACCGATGCAACACATAATAACATAGGTATGATACAGGATTGCTATGGTGGTGGAGCTGAGTGAGGCTTGAGCCCCGAGTGCGTGGGTTTTGCGAACACAACAACCCTAACACCTACTGCATCATCAAAACAAGGGCTCGCAAAACAATTGCTTGCATAGAACATGGTCTCACAAGGTCATAAACAGTCCATAGAACAGACTTGCGGGAAAAATGGGAACGTATCCAAAAATGAGAATTGGCGTTTTTCTTCAGAACCATCGGGTGTATGTTGTTGTTGTTGTTGTTGACTTCACATTAAACCGTATGCCAGTTGCTAAATGCCAAAATCTAGCAAAGACTCTCGGCCCGTGGTCACGAAAGTGCTGGAGCCATCTGAGGATCTAAACAACACGCACACGTAGCAAGAAAAAGGTGTACAAGAGCCCGAAGAGGTACTACTACACCTATATATAATCCCTGCAGCACCGTACGCGTGCCCAAAACTGAACTACACGTCCGTCTCACCGTTCGACTACAGCAACATCACCCCCTACTTGTCCCACTCTGTACCAAAACGAATGATTGCCGACTACAGCATACTTGCTGTCTGAAGT